TATATATATATATATATATATATATATATATATATATATATATATATATATATATATGTATATATATATATAAAATCGCGGTATTTTTCTCTCTCCGGGAAAAAGACAACGAAGCGGACTTGAAATGTTCGCGAAACGTCGAAATCAAACCAAGAAGAATCCACGCGGCTCAAATCCCGGAAACCACCAAATCTAATATGCATGGACACCGCGAAAGCCTAAAATATCATAACATAACATCTTGATTCAAATAAATGAATTACTTCTTGTGAAAACTAAATAGTCTGTTGTTGAAAATATATTTTTCTTTTTGGAACTAAGCTATTATTCCACCGAAATAAAATTAATATTTGATTCAAACAAAAGAAGAGCTTATGCCAAGAAAAAGAAATATCTTCATTACCCAGCAAGAACGCTAACGTCGATTCGACATCTAACCGATGCCAGAGAAATCTAAGTTACGTCTAGTCTAAATGCACATCTAGAAAAATGGCAATTTAGACGTCTTCTATTTTGAGTAAATTTTAATGTTTTAGAATCCATTCATAATATATTGACCATTAAAATAGAGTTTTCGATAAAATTTCTGGATTTTATTTTGTCCATTATTTACAATTTCTCTAGACGTCTATTCGATATTGAATCGACGTCTAATATATATTAGACATCGATTCCAAACGGCATCTCTGAGCGTTATCTAGGGAGAGGAGAGTATCGTGAGCGTGGAGTGTAACTTAGTGGTTTAAAGCAGTCGCCCGGCAAGCGAAAGACCCGGGTTCGAGTCCCGGCCTAGCAAGACAGCGTTCTCGATATTTTTCTCTCTCTGGAACGAAAAGATACGCAGATCTCGAACGCACGTCCCGTCGCCATCTAGTATGCTCTCCTCCTATGGTCAGAGATGGGCAAAATGGGTGTTTAAACTTATTTTAAATGAAAAATGCAAAATAGTTGGAACCAACCCATTTAAAAATATGAAATGTAAAATGGTTTCGAAAAATTCATTTAAAATAAGAAATGGAAAATAGGTATTTTGAAAATGGTTTTCAAAATAAAAATGGGTTTTTCAATATATATGTTCTTATATTTATTACATATTATTTTTTATATAAACTTCGAGTTATAAAAAAACATCTTCAGATTTTAAATATTATAGAATATTTTCATAGAGAAGTTATTATATATACAGGGTGTTCCATTTTAAAGTTTCTACTAAAATATCTTCTAATGGACAGAATTTTCGACAAAATGTTTCAGACAAAAGTTGTAGGGTTTCAGAAGGTCTATTTAATGGCTGTATCAGTTTTGACTTTGAGTGGTGCCGCCAAGGTCAGGTCGAGGTCAACTTTGTTTTTTTAAATAGAAACATATATTTCTTATTAGAAAATTTTATTTTGCGTAAAGAAACAAACAACTTTTGTTTGAAAACATTTTTTATACAACCTTTATTTTCTAAAATATTTACGGCAATATTTACAAAATTATTGGTTTCAATAATTTTTTACTCGAATTCTATCAACTTTACCGAAAAATAGTAAGAGATAAAAAATGTTTATT